GGTGGAAACACGAAATTATCAATCGATCAATCAGCCGTCAATTCACATCTGGAGGCTTTGCAACATCCCTATGCTTAGAGGTTTAATAGAAAGTTTGTCCATCCTCGAACGTTAAAGTACAATCGATCTTCTGCGCATGCGTAGTTCAAGTTTCGCATCACCTAAGTGCATCTGCGCATACGCAAAAGATCGATAGTGCTCCCAGTCATCCAATCGGGAGCATAAACGTTAGTGACCTTTTACTTCCTGATTGCATGACACCGTAACAGCTGATTTACGTCAACGGACTCTATGTTTAAATGGAAGTATTCGCGTGAAGCGGGGCCGCGCCTGGCCGCGGGCGGCGTGTTGGGCATCTCGGCGTCGCGTCGCGTCGGCGTCGGCGTCAGCGGTGGCGGTGGCGGCGCCGCCGGACGCGCGCCGTTTATCCGTCGTCGCCGGAGGCGCAGCCAGGAGCCAGGGCGGCGGCGGCGGCAGCGCGGCCCCGGCCGCAGCCTCCGGCGACGACAGTTGTACGGCCCCGCCCCCTCGCCCCCCGGTCCCCTCGGATGCGCCGCGCCGCGCGAGGTGCCATGCGAGCGAACGAAGCCCGGTCGTTCAACTTGCTCGCAGCGAAGGCGCGCGGATCGCTCGCCGAAAGCGTACGCTACTGCAGTGCCTAGTTACAGAGCGGGGCGAATCGACGGCGGGGAAGGGAGGAAGCCGGCACGCTCCCCCCTCACCCGATCTGGAATGCAAGATGTCCTCTAATGGAAGAGTATTCATTTCTCTCTATCAGAAAGAAAGTCGCGTGATTTATTATTCGTACTTTTAAATGATCAAATGAAGGAATCAAAATTAGAGAAATTAGAAATGATAAGTTTCTTAAAAGCATCATCAGTATTCCGTTTTCCTCTGGAGTTAGGGACGGCTACTCCCCCCACCCGGAGAAAATAGTTCGTTTAATATCATCTTGCACAAAAGCCTCGCCACGGAGCAGACTTGAGTTGAGCAGAAATGATAATTAAGGCATTGAGAAAAAGTTTGAATATATTAATATTGTTTTTTGACTTGGTTTGTTGTTTCCAATACCATATTTTGCAATATACCGCGCAACTCGAACTTCCCATACGAGTATTGCCGGTGAAAACCCAAACTATGCAATTCCCGACGGAATTGCCGGTGAAAAGGAATGCGCTACTGTTTGTAGGAACTCTAAATTACAGCTGAATTACATAGAAAACAACTTTCCTCTGTGGATATTCAAAATTTAATTAGCCGCTGTGTCCTCTCCATAAACACCGACTACATTCGGGTAACCAGCTTTAACCAGCCTTCAATTGTTGAACGTGGTGTTTCACACTTTCGGTATCATTCCAAGTTAACGCTTCCAAAGCACTATTACTTCATAGACATACGGGGCCAAACTCATCACTTGGTAACAGTTGACAATTACATAGCGCTTTTAGCCATTGCGCTGGGCCACTTACTCGCCAATTCCATGGGCGGGCGCGGGGAACGCGTGTGGAGAAAAAGTTCGTGGAGAACGCTTCCCCTATCCTTGTCGAGATAACACATCACCGTCAATGTGTTTTATTACGCAGACTTCAATACGAAATGATTCAGAATGAATGTTAGAAACTTTTTGGGTATGCGAAGGGTCAAATAAATATTCACGTTTTGCGAATGAATGCGTTGTGAGAAATCTTATACAGAAAAAATAACACAACTACATTTTTGACACTGCGTCCATGATTGGAACTTATTCTGTATAGGTTTTTGGCAAGTCCACAGACTCTCATAGGGAGACATGATCTCTAGCGCTCGCTACTCTTTTTCCTAGACGGTTGTCGCCCTTGCGAAAGGGAACGGATTTATAAGTAAATGCACCAGTTTTAACCGGTACAAGATGTATTCTATTTTTTGACAGTTCCCGTGGCATTCTGAATGAATTAAAATTATTTATATTTTGGGATAACTACATATTTTACCTTTCTCTACATCTCCTTTACATATTTCATTACATTTCAACATAGTTATTTGTCGGAATGGAGTATTTCAGATGCGATTTAGAAAATAAATTTTCATGCAATGGTCTGTCTGTGATACAAAGCAAAGTAATACGTCACTCTTGTTACCTCGTGTACTTCCCCGTGCCTTTTCAAACTTATGTACTTCCTGCTTCTCGGAAACTGAATTCTCGGAATCAAGGACGAACGAATATTTGCGAAACTGAAATAATATCTACCATGTGGTTGCTCGAGATTAATATATTCCATTAGATTACCAGATATATTCCATTAGAGATCCAGTACCTCGATCAAAATGTGACAAACATTTCTTACAGGTTATTGTCTAATCATGCTTTCTGCATTTCTGAGAAATATACACCCTTGTTTAGGGATGCAAAACTCGGAACTTCACATGAAATCCATTGAGAATACTCATTTGGACTTGATGCGATCAATAGGTTTATTTGGCACTTAGTTTCATTAAATGTGGTGTGATTATGGTGGAGGATTCAATAGAGTAAGAGAGGGGAAAATAGTTGTGATGATGGAGAGGAATTCATAATGAGAGGTGAATTATATTGAATGATGGTTGAATGACGGTAGAAAGATGCCTGCAACTACACTGTCCAACATTTCGACGTGCACTTCTGGTAACGTGATTTTGAAAAGACGACAGGCGCTGTATTTGCTGACATTGTATTGGCTCAGAATTTGAAAAGGAAGGGATATTTGAGGATGGATTTTAAGTGCGTGTTCCTCGAGAAAGAACGTGGAAAGGCGATGGAGAGGGAATAATCGTATGCAAAACATGGGTACCAAAGTGCTCACGATCTAAATTCATTATCCTTGAATTAAAATAGATATTTGGTTGTATTCAAGTAGCTGGATACCAAAAGCCGTCTTTTCGTCACAAAATTATTTGTAACGTATGCCATAAAATTCTTTATGGAATCTACAGTATTTTTGTCGTGATAATTTTGAAACCTGTCATTTATTACTTCAGGAATCGGAAGTTTATCGTACACAGCGGCTCCGCAACAAAATATTTGCCTAAGGTTCCATAAACCTTATGGCTGCTCTGAAGTGGTGAAGCGAAAACACTACCTCGTGCGTCACACCAGATCGTGCCACTTTTAACGTTCGGGGACCAGTGTTGCCAGATCAAAAGTTTTAGCTGAATTTTGCGAAATTTGATTTCAAATATATAAGAAAAAATTTTTATAAACAACAAAAGAACCAAAACTGTAAGGATTTTTAGTTGAGAAACGTTAAGGAGGAATTACTTTCGTATTTGAGCGCCTTAGAGCCCAAGTAACCCACATTTTACTTGTTCCGAGGTAGTTAATGTTTTACTAGACTTGCAGAAAACGCAGCTGTACATTATTTTATATTTTATTACATATTATTTAATATTTTATTATATATTCTTTTATATTTTATTTTATAAGGCCTAAATGGAGTTATTTTCACTTGTGATACGATATGGTAAATAAGGTTGGCAAGAAAATATGAACTATAATCAACAGTTCTGTATTAACATTTTTTTACAAAAATCCCAAATTAAGCACACTGTAAGACCGAAAATGAAGAATACAGGACGTCATGTATACAAATAGGTTATGGAAACAACATAAGAACATGTCTGATCTCTAACATTTTGAAAATAAAATCCTGGACTGGTATTTCCCGAGTTACAAAATTTTGTTCCTCATCAGTCATCAGTAACATTAATATTATCATTCCATTCAGTAACCCGATATCAACACAATGAGAAATAAGAAGACACTTCATGTAGTTGCGCTGAATAGAAGGGATAAGAACAACAGGTATCTAACGTCTTTTTTTCTGTTTTGTGCAGGACCTTGGCCCTCTGAATAACTTTATCTGAGGTAGCAAGAGAAACTGGAAATCGTTTTTAGATCCCGATTGGAAGGACAACGTGTGGAATGACATGTATGCAGAAACAGTTTCTTTAAAAGAAATTGTGAATGGTTCACACTTTTGGTATTGATTGAATATTAACAAGGAAATAAAAAAACCTACCAGTTACCGACAGATAGAATGGTGCAACTCGCAACTGCATCACGATGATTCAATTTTCACATGCGGGTAGGGGACGATTTTATGTAACGGTGGTAGTATTGAATTATAATTCAGATTTATCTACCAATAGAAAGTAAAGAAATGGGTAAACAATTTACAAACGTTTATTACTTCAGTGGATAAAACAATAATTATACACATTTATAGACGAAAATTCGACTAATTTATTTTCAAATCGTGGTGATTTTGGTTTGAAGAATGTTTAAAAAATGGAGATATAAAAATTATTGTAGTATACTATTATTATTATTATTATTATTATTATTATTATTATTATTATTATTATTATTTTCTTTTTAATTCAAAAGTAAATTAGCTACCAAGTCAAAGCATCGATGTTGAAAAGAATATCAGCTTCAATAAATCGATGTTAAATACGTCCTTGTTTGTATAAAAATGTCGATGTTTGGAAAACATGGACATCGTTGTCGCTTCCCTACGCTACAGGGCGACCAGCCGGGAGGAGGTGGAGGCGAGTCAAATCGCGCAACAATCACTAACCAACGTATTGAGAGTTGTTTCCAAGGCCCCGCATCTCGAATGCGGAGCAGGGCTCTCCTTTCAACAGCGCCACAACAACGAACACCCCGGCGGAAGAGCGCCAATCAAGGCGTAGGCCGCCCAGAAAAGCTGCACATCCCACTATGACTGAAGGTGGCGGTGGTGGAAGACTGTTGAAGTGTAGGTTGAAGTGGAGGCGGAAGGGGATGTGGAGGTGATGGTGGTTGCGGAATCCTGAAGGCCCAGGCGAGTGAGAAGTGCAATTAGAATCCCAACCCCTCGCATTCCGCCTCCTCAGCGAACGCTGGCCACAGCCTTGCGCAAAGAGGGCCGCGTCAGCTCCCACGGAAAGGGGGTCCCGGGCCCCCGCAGCGTCACTCCGCCCCGCACCGAGCCTCCGCCGCCATGCGGCCACCCACACCGCTGCCGCTGCCGCTGTCGCTGCTGCTACTGGCGGTCGCCTGCCTCACCCCGCAGGTATTTGTATTTTTAAATGGCCAAAAAACAGTTAAAACTGATGTGAAGGGTGAAGGAAAAGTAAAAATAATGTAAGTACGAATACAATACAACAAATACTAACTACCACCCTTAATAGAAAATAACTTAAGTATAAATTATATATTCTCATAGAACAAATTTGCATCGCTTCAGCAGCACAAATAGGCAATTCTTTTTGTAAAAAGCTAAAACATATGAAGAAGTGAAACGTGTGGAATGCGCTGTATAAATTTCATGTTTTGAAACATTAAAACGTGCGCTCTTCTTACGCGTTTTGCAAAAAATACGTGTTAAGTCTCTTACTTAAGTGAGGAACATTTCTGTAAAAGGTTAATACTCGTAAAATGCTACTTTAGATGAGAGTATAAAAACGTGTTTATAATCTGATAGAAGTTTCAGCAACGAGTCAAAATGGCCTTATCAAATTGGTCATCAATGTTTAATATGACCCAAGGGCACTTAATTAAACAACATTTGAGTGGGAATCACAATTTATATCATAGCCCATTCCTCTGTTGGTGCATCAGCTTGTAGTGTATAGCGTAGTGTGTATAGTTGTAGCGCGTAGTGTAATTTCCAGACATCAAACGATCTACTTCTAATTTGCAAACGTAGGCGCACTATCCCCTTACAAGCTATGTATTTCACAAGACATCTCACGGTGTAGACTGCTATTATCTGTGGACCTTAAGACCGGTGTTTAAACCCTTAAAATGAAAAAATACAACGTCCTTCATTATTAAGAAGGGTTGAAAACGTTAGGACGAGTCGCTGTGTTCCTTTCCTGGCGGCATGCATTTCCTTCAACAAGATCTATCTATCAGTGGGTACATATGAAAAAAAAACGATTATTTTTTTCTCGGAGAACCTTGATTTGCGTGTATTGTAAAATGTCATTGGAATAGTCTTTGATCTGGTGCCCCTGATAGGCCGGCAACACGTCGCCTTGATGGTTGGCAGGTACACTCTCAGGGGCAACCTGCTCAAGGGCAAGGACAATATTAAGTTGTGTGTGGTTTTTTGTTGTCTTTATTGTTCAGCTTTGATTGCATGAGAACTTTCATCGCCCGTACTTTCATCACATTAACTTTCATCGCCGAGACTTCATGACGTCAAGACATTTATGTTGACAAAACTGTACGTTAATCGTGTAATAAAAAATGAAGGGCAATATTTATTGAAACATTCTAAATTCAGAAATATGCTAGTCAGACTTTCCGTTTTGCGTACGTCCAGCAGCCTTTCAGGAATTTTCGTCGCCGTTCAGTTTCTATTCCGTGGCTTTGATGAAATGGAATTATAACGGTGTAATATTTGTGTTAGTGGGGGGTCTACACGCTAGGAATTACTATTTTTGGTAAGATTGCTAAGATTCGCTAAGATTTATACTAGTATGTGCATTGTAATTGCTTAAAGACCATCATTTAGTCTATAATATCATGAGTATTACATGACATTTGTAATACATTCTAAAAAGTAGACGTTTTCTCTGAGCGAAACTGAAGAAAATGCTCCTCTCTCGAAAAGGCGCTATAAAATTACAATTCTATGAATTTTACTCGTACATTCTGTACGATTGATATGACATTTATTCATATTACGAAAATAATTCCAGTACATAATGAACAGCAATTGTGCGCAGGCGCAGAGCCGAGCGGTGCTGAGCATGTCCCCGCTGCGCGGCCACGCCGCCGCGCTTGCGCTGGAGGGTGGATGGGGCGCGCACAGCGGCGACTACGACTACTACTCCGACTACTCGGACTACGCGGAGGAGCGCGCCAGCGCCCACGCGGAAGAGCAAGAGTCGGCGGGCGATGAGGAGGAGGAGGGCGAGGGGGAGGAGAGCGAGTGCATGCGGGCGCTGCTGGAGGCGCTGCGGAGGCGCTACCGCGACGACCCGCGCCTCGCGACCCCGGCCACGCCCACGCCCACGCCACCGCCCACGCCACCGCCCGCTCCCACGCAGGAGTCCTCCAGGCGCAGGAGGCAGGCGCCCGGGGACAACGAGGTGAGTGGAGGCCTACAACGTTTCATTTCTTCCCCCCTCCCCTTTTCCTTTAAATTTACGTGTAGCCCTACACGGTTAAATGTAGCATCCAATGGATAAATTTCTAAATTAGACATACGAAGATGTAACTGATTATGTGAGTTTTGGGGGTGTCGTCTCCGCACCTCCCACGCAGATTAAACCCGCATAAAAATTATATAATTAATAATAATAAATTCATTTATTTACTTTCATATAAGTACAAATAATAATATTACCTAAATTACTTTTACCACTTCAGCACCAGACCAGCCAGTTGAACTTTCACAAAAACATTGAAACATTGCAGATCTATGTGTCTACGACATGACCAAATAATCAGGCAACCTAATAATAGTGAAATAATGAACACTCGATACAAAATGTAAATAAAAATAAATAATGGCAATTTAAACAGAAAATATTATTATAACATTTGACGTGTTCCATGACTTTGCTTCTTTTTTTATTAAGATTGATTCTTCGACATCCTCACAAGGAGTGGCAACAGCGGATTATAGCGCACCGGATAGCTCTACCAATGAAGAAACTGTCAAAGACCATATGAATGTGAAACGTAAGAACCAGGTGATTGGCTCCTATCCTGTATCTAACAAGTTGCATTCGCCTGTGGATATTAGCGATGAAGATTCGTCCGACATCGGTAAGAAATGGAATAAGACGTCGTGGTTTTAAATATTTTTCAACATAATTGTAACACATTATTTCTCATCTGGCATCCTTTTCTCAACTGCATTCACGAGCAATCGGGATACACTTCGGTATTTGCCTTCGAATGTGGTGATAATATCTTCTTTTCTTTTTTTACATGGAAAATGATTAACACGTTGAAAATAACTTGTAACATGTCGTGTAGAATGAACTCTCCAATATGTCTGTTTCACTCAATTCATGATGATGATGAAGATAATAATGATATAGATAATGGTGATGACAACGAAAATGGTGCCAAACCAACGCTCCTGATCATTCACTACTGTCGTTAACAGACGTGTCCTTGCAGGTGGTGAAGGTCGCGGTGAGAGGCCGCCCCAGCTGAACGAAGAGCACGTGGATGCCATCTTCGCCTTGCTCTCCGACTTCCTGCGCCGGCACTCCGCTACCGGCGCCGATCCTGACCGCCGCCCCGCCCACTACCCGCCCCGCCCACCTACCCTCTCCCGCCCCCGCCTCCCACCACCACCACCCACGCCCACGCGCCGGCGCGCGTCCGCTACCACCTGCATCCCGCACACGCACCCGCGGGGGCGGTTCATTTCCTGATCCCGGCCTTCGCCTCACCCATGGGCCCCGCCCCCGCCCCCGTGGCCACCCATCTCTCCTCCGCTTTAACGGCCGCCGAGCCCGCGGCTGTGTACGGCCCGCACCGCTCTGCACCGCTGGCGCTGCGGCCCTCTTCGAACGACGTTGCGGTACGGATACACAGATTAGTTTTTACACAGCCACTAGTAAAAGCGGTTGCATTTACGGCATCCAGCAACTACTAAGAGAGGTTGCTTTTAGGACATGCAGAACGTGCTAAAATTTCGATTTTTAGCACTAATGCTAAAAGTAATTCGATTCTAAACTATTCAAATAAAACTGTGATTGCAACAAAGTAAACAAAATACTTTCCTGTGACCACATCAGATACTGTTCAGCTTAATCTAACTTACTACACAATTAAGTGATTTGTATTCTTGAATAAAATAAAATAAAAGTCAGTAAGACTGGCTGAAATATAGAGAATGATACACATGGTAAAAGTAACTTACAATAGCTATAAGAAAATGTACTGTGTTGAACTCGACCAAATGGGTACTAATGTATAACTATGAACTTCGTACCTCGTTCGTATCGAAAACACGTCACACAAGTCTATTGATAACCATCGTTTCATCATCGTTTCATAATATACTAGTATTGAAACATTGCTAAATTAATAAATGGGAGGTGGGATCGGCATTCATTGCTGACTTAGGTTGGAAGTCCTTCCATTATCGTAATGTTTATCATACATAATTCAGAATCCCATAAATAAGGAGGAATATCGAATTGCGATATTTCTCTAGTAACAATCAAAATAAATGTGGGTTTGTTAATAGATTTGTCATCATTTTACCGCGCGTAGCCGTCAATTCATGGTACTTGTAGTCATCACGTTAGTTCGATCATACGTTTGGATATAGAGTATTCATGTTTTCTTATTTGGCTTATAGATAAATGTAAATGTCTTATAGATATCAATCGATATTCGAATAATCGATATCTGACGTTCATTAATTTCAACATATCGATAGGACTAATGACCAATGCGCGCAAGAAAAGCTACGCAAATATTTTAGTGTGTTATTCCACCTATTCTAAATACTGCGAAAACCAACTGAATTCTCATACCCAGTATGTCGTTGCTACAACACAGCATATGTCACAGGACAGCAAGGCTCAAAACAAGAGACCATCCGTCATCATATATTTGCTATTCACGTATGGCCATACGGAACAGCAACTTCGTTTAAATTCATTGTACGTAAGGAAGTGTTGTGCTTTATGTCTTTACCATGTTATTCCAGTTTTCGCGAAGTGTTGTAAACAATTCATTTTATTGCAGTGTTATACGGGAGTATTTTATTTGTTGTTCTTGACCAGTGTGCGTGCTGCGTTTTGGAAAACAATTTTTGTGATTTTGCTAAGCAACCTTTTTTTGTTGTTGTTTTCCACTAGTTCCGTTCATTTGTTGGTACAGATTCCAAATGTAACGACTCAAGTATCACCACATGCTCTGTGTTCTTGTGCAGGCTCCATCGACTCCGACGATCGCTGCAAGCCCGGCAGTGGCCACCAGAGAATACAGCGCTCCGGCGATTTCTGTTGCCCCAGCAGCCCCGGCCAAAGAGTACAGAGCTCCGGCAACGGCTTCAGCGACTCCAGCAGCTACAGGCAGAGAGTACAGCGGCTCGACGGCGGTGATGGCTGCCCCACTATCACCAGCCAGAGAGTACAGCGCCCCGATGGTGGCGGAAGCGGCCCCACTAGCACCAGTCAGAGAGAACAGAGGCTCGGCTGCGGCGATGGCGCCACCACCAGCACTAGCCAGAGAGTCCAGCGCCCCGGTCGCGGCACCATTAGCACTAACCAGAGAGTACAGCGCCGCGGCGGCAGCATCGACGGCCCCAGCATCCTCGGTGAAGGTGTACAGCGCCCCTGCGGTGGCCCACTCAGAGGGTGGCTCAGCGCCGGAGACCGCCGGGCGCGCCACCGCGCTCTCCGCCATCGGCAGCCTGCTGCGCGGCCCGCGGCCCGAGAGCGCGCGGGCGGCGGGGGCGGTAGGCAGGGCGGCAGCGCCGGTGGCGAGGGCCGATGAGGTAGGCAGCCCACCGTTGGCTTACGAAACAGATAACTGATGTATGACACCAGACTTCATTATATTTACGCTCGTATGAATTCGCCGTGTTTCAATCAATATTGTTTTGATATTGAGTGGCGCATCCCAAGTGTGTGTATGAAGGGGGCTGGGGCTACTGGGAATCCCCCTTCGAAGTAAACAGATGGGAAATATTAATATTGTTTTCACTAATTTTCTGAAGTAGCGTAAGCCATAAATATCTCGATTAAATACAATAATAATAATAACTGTAACAGCACACACGTCATTATAATTGCTAGTAAATTCTATGAACGTGATGCCTTAAATTTACATAAGAAAATGTTTTAGTAAATAAATGAAACGCACAAGGACTTCCTCTTCCCCACATATCATGACTACACGAATTGGGCATTTTCCAATTCCAGCAGTTTAGCACACCCGGGAAATTGGGTCATGTGCATCAGTTCGTTTAGTTTTATTTGTGTAGTCCGGATGGACATATATAAAAATTCTAATTGCTCATACTCTAGAAATAACACTTTGGTTGAGCAATACGCCATGTGTACTACTAAGACGTCGTTAACAAATGTATGACAAAACGTGGCCATTTCAGAGTAAATTTTATCAAATAAATTTTTTTTAAACATTTTATAAAATATCTTTATTAAAATATAAGTTATTCCTTCGATATATTTTCTTTTAAAAAACATCTTTGACAAAGTTCTTTTACAGTGTAATACCGGCCTAAGAAAGAGCATGGACGGTGGAAGTTACGTGGTCGTCAGTATCTACTTGGCTGTCCAGGAGACGCCGCGTTTTTGGCACATGCATTGCGCCCTTAGGAAGGCGGTAGCATGACGGCCGACCGTGGACGCGGACGCGGCGTTTCTAAAGACGGCTCCACACATTCGGCATTCGCTACTGCTCGCCCGATCCCGAACAGCTGATGAGTTCGGCGAGTGTTCGGACTCCTCGATGTGTCCTAAAGGCAGACACGCGGTGGGTAGGGCGAATACCGTGCGTTCGGCGCTCGACGAATCGCAAGCAACCCGTCCACACTCCTCGGGATTCGGCGAGCGGTTGCCGCGTGTGTGGAGCCGCCTTTAGACATCCAAGTAGGTACTGAGTGCGGCCGCGGAAGCCTGTTACGCCTTCGTCATTCGGTCGCTTTCCGCAGGCGGAGGGCGAGTCGGCGGTGGAGCGCGCGGAGCGGCGGCTGCAGGCCCTGGAGGGGCTCATCCAGGCGGTGACGATCGCAGGCCACGTGGAGGCGTTCGTGTCGAACCGCGCGCGGGCGGCGCTGCGGGCGCTGGCCTACGCCTACGACGACGACTACGAGGACCGGCGGCAGCGAGCGCGCGCCCGGCGCGCCCACGCCTACGACTGAGCGCCACACTCCCCCCCCCCTTCCACCCTCCACCTCCCCCCTCCCTGCGTACAGGAGCCCGAGCAAATCATTGCCAAAAAGCTTGCAGTCATTATATAGTACATTAAGCAAATAGTTTATAATGTTAAGCTATATTGCATAACTGCATGTTTTGAAAACAACCGCTGTTAGGAGCCAGATTTTAATTTTGTACGAATGCGATAAAGCAACATTTAAACGAGTTGAATACGATATTTTTTGTATAACAGCGTTATACATTTCTGTAAGAAAATTGAAATCAATCTCTACACACAAGTTTATTACGACGTTAAGGTATTTGACATGTAAGCAAAAATGGTGGTCGGCTGAGCGGTTTACTGCCACCACCCCACTATCCGCTCGTTGCAATGGGCTATATGTGTGATGGTGCAATTATTTGCACCATAAACGGCTAATGCGTCACAATATGTGACACTAAATTTCATTTTATGAACGGTTTCTAGCAACGAAAGGAGTTGTTTCTAATGCTTGTATACAAAAAAATATTTTCTGGGCTGATAGTTCAATATCCCCTTCAACTCCTTCTTCCGGATGCTTCGACTGCACTGTAATTCTATTTGAAACGTAAAAAATGGCTAAACAGGATTCATGATAGAAATTGCAAGATAGCAGGTGTTACTAAACCTCATTTGTATAGTTTTTTAACGAGTGATACAAAAAATTGTTGGAATTTTCCAAATTTATTACAAGAGTGCAGATAATATTCATCCCATGCTCCCGAAGTAATAATTCATGACTGATCTCTAATAATTCACTCTTGTGCTATTTTATAAAAACAATATTGGCATTTTCTTCATTTAATTAGTTTTCAAGAGTTTATTGCAATTAACTTAACTTTTATAACAGAAAAGCGAAACGACAGTTCATTTGCATATTGCATTATGGTGATTTATACCTGTTTACATTATTCAAATGTTTAGTGATATGAACTTGTTAAGTAGATGTAGATTATACTCAAGTTTCGTATTGCCCGAAACCTTGACTCTGTATTCTATCCATAATTTATTTTAAACGCAGTGACTAATTTACATACTGATATACGTCAACTGATATAGTTCAAGAATGTAATTTCTTTTTACCATAAAATATTTTTTATTAAAATTATATTGTGTTGTTTACTTGATGTGTTACCTCTTTTACCTCTCGTACTTCGTAAGAAGAGAAAGTATTGCACTTATTGCTGGGCCCTGGTAACGAAAAAGTATATACATCTTGTTCCTATTTATAGTAAATTACATCCGATAACCTGTTATATAATCATAATTGATGTTTTGTGGGTCCTCGACACCTAAAAATCGATTGATGACAAAACGTCCGCCCGCGGTCAACACTAGGGCCTAAACAGTTCAGCTGATTTTCTCCGAAATTAAAATTCTTCGATCGATATAAATGAGCTCACATTTCTCTGAGTTTTAAGCGGATGTTTTGATTTTTGAGGGTATTTTACATGAATTCTCAAATATATTTTCAAAATTTTCTCAAAAACTGCAC